AAATATACAATAACTTGCAAGTTCTCTGGAGTAGCAAAGTGAAATTTGTCTCACTGTCTCAGCTGTTGGGATGACCCCTCTTTGGATCCAACTGTGGTCTCTTCACAGCTCCAGGTTTTATTGTCTCACTTGTGGGAATTTAAAAAAAGAATAAGAAGAAGAAGGAAGGAAGAAAAAAATAAAAAGGGAAAGAAGGGAAGAAAAAGAATAATAGAAAAAGAAAGAAGGAAAGAAAGGAAGGAGTTAAAAGAAAAAATTACTTAAAAAAAAAGTCTCCTGGACTTCCGCCAAGATGGAGACGTAGATGGAGGATCCACCTTGCCTCTGTGCACAACCAAATCTAAGAACAACTATTTTTAACAGCAGTCACAACCAAGCCACACGGAAAATCGACAATACGGAGTCCAAAGGACAACTAGATACTCGGCTGGACCAGTACGAGGAGCGAGGCCAGCAGCGGAGCAGGTTAGCAAGAAAAAATTCTCGGGGCGGTGCGCGCAGGCAACCGAGGGCGCTGATCGCCAGCGAGCTGGCTGCCGGAGCGCACAGGGAAGAGGCGCGGTGGGTCGGTCGGTAGCGCGCATTTACGTGCGGAGAAACCAGTGAGAAGGGAAAACCGCGCGGTACAGCAGGCTCGCCCGAGGCGTGTGAGTGACTGGATGGGCTGGGCTAGCGGAGAGGAACACCATTGCTCCCTCTCTGACCACGCCCCCACACACAGCGTCACAAACCAGCGACCTGGGTCGCCCCGTCCTGGTAAACAACTAAGGCTTCGCTCCGCTCACTTAACAGCACGAATAGACCAAAAATGGCTCTAGGACAACTCAGAGCCCCAGAACCGATAGACCTAAGTGATGAAGAAATAGCCAGTCTTTCAGATGCACAGTTCAAAACACTGGTTATAAGGATCCTTACAGAACTGGTTGACTTTAGTCAGTAATTAGAGAAACATATGGAAGCTAAATTAATTGAAATGAATGGGGATACAAAAGATACCAATAGTAATGGAAAGAAAATTGGGACTCAAATCAAGGGAGAGAACCAGAAGGAAGAAAAAAATGATCAAACAGAAAGGAATGAAGAAATAAGAATTCAGAAAAATGAGGAGAAGCTTAGGAACCTCCAGGACATCTTTAAACATTCCAACATCCGAATTATAGGGGTACCAGAAGGGGGAAAGGCACAACCACCAGTTGAAAAATTATTTGAACAAATAATAAAGGAGAATTTCCCCAAGATGGCAAAGGAAATAGACTTCCAAGAAATCCAGGAAGCTCAGAGAGTCCCAAAGAAGTTGGACTCAAGAAGGAACACACCAAGGCACATCATAATTACATTAGCCAAGATTCAAATGAAGGAGAGAATCCTAGAAGCAGCAAGAGCTAAGGGGACAGTCACCTACAAAGGAGTTCCCATCAGACTGTCAGCTGATTTCTCAAAAGAGACCTTACAGGCAAGAAGGGGCTGGAAAGAGGTATTCCAAGTCATGAAATCTAAAGATCTACAACCAAGATTGCTCTACCCAGCAAAACTTTCATTTAGAATGGAAGGACAGATAAAGTGCTTCTCAGATAAGACCAAATTCAAGGAGTTCATCATCACCAAGCCCTTATTATATGAAATGTTAAAGGGACTTACCTAAGAAAAAGAAGATAAAAAAGATGAACAGTGAAAGGACAGCAAACTCACAGTTATTAAGAACCACACCTAAAACAAAAGCAAACTAAGAGGATAGCTAGATCAGGAGCAGAACCATAGAAATGAAGATCTCAGGGAGGGTTAGCAACAGGGGAGTGGGAGGAGGGGAAGGGGGAAGAAGGTACAGAAAATAAGTAGCATAGACAGTAGATAGAAAATACATAGGGGGGAGGGTAAGAATAGTAGGGGAAATACAGAATCTAAAGAATTTGAGACACATGTTCATGAACTAAAGGGGGAAATGGTGGGGGAGGGGTATGCAGGGTGGAGGGGAAGGGGGGGGGAATAGAGCAAATGTAATGGCATAATCAATAAAAAAAATAAATTAAAAAAATTTTTTAAAAAAGTCTCCTGCTGGCTTCAAACTGGCCAAGCTAGTCCTGCTGGTCTTCCTGGCTGCAGCATGCGAGGAGGATTGGTTTCACTTTTTTCCCTTCCTGAGCTGCACTCCCCCCACCCCACCCTTGCCTCCAACACAGTTCCTCTGGACCCCAGTGCTTTTTTGCATCCAGCCTAGGCCTTCAGTCCACCAGTTGTGCTGTCCTTGAGGTACACCATTTAGGGGCAATTCACACACCACCTTCTCTTTCTTTGCTGTTCCAGGGACTCTCAGAGTCCCTTCAGGCTAGTTCAGCCTCTCCATTGAGTTAAGTCTTTCTGGGGATTGCTGACTCCCTGAGTTCTGCAGTTCTCCTCCTCAGGGGTGTCTCCATCTTCCTTTTAGAGAGCCAGTGGGCACTGCAGGCCAGGGGTGCCGCTGCACCTCCTCTGCTGCTTCCCCAGGGTTGCAGGGGTTGGGTGCGTGGTGCCTCTCAGTGGCAGTGTCAGGCACGCTCCTTCCTGGTATTGCAGGCATGAGCACTGAGCACTGGGTCTCTGCTACCCAGGCAGAATGAGCAGCTGCCAATCCTGCAGGTTCAGAAGTGCACTCTCCTTAGGGCCTCGGGTGTGAGTGCAGGGCCTTCAGTGCTACTGAGCGCGGGGGGGGGGGGGGGGCGGGGGGGGGGCGGTGCTGCTGCAGGAGAATTCTCCAAACAGCTGCCACGTGAGTGCCCCTTTTTTACATTTTCTTTTTGAAAAATTTCTCCTGCTCAAGCCTGCCGCTCCATATAACGGCATGGCTTCTCACACAGCCCAACTCTCCAACCAGACTGGGGACTATCCGGGTCAGGGTCTGTCACAGCCCATCTCTCTCCAGTCCACAGTCTCAGTGGGTGCACACAGGCCTTATGTGTTTGCTACTTCGTCCTATCCCGCCTCCCTGAGACTTCAAGCAACCAGGTCTCTCCTGGTGCAGCTCACCTTGTTTGGCAGGGGAGGGAGCTGTTGACCTGGCTCTCTTCCAAGAACCCTGCAGCAGACCCCGTGGACACTGGACCTGGGGCTGGGGCCACCCTGGTCCCTGCGCTGGACCCAGAGACCTTATTGTCCTAAAGCCCTCTACCTACCATTTGATTTTTCAGTGTCCTCTACAGTTTCTGGTCTCCAATCTTCAAATATGCTGGGATACTGTTGACTGTTCACTCTGTTCCTCAGAAGATCAGCTAGGTGTTTCATCCATGTGCAGGGGGAAGTGGACTCTCCTCACACCTACCTCACGGCCATCTTCAATCCTCTGATCTATTTTTAAAATTTTTTTGACAAATCTATTTTTTGAGATTATGTATTTATTTATTTCTAGAGAGGGGGGAAGGAAGGGAGAAAGAGAGGTAGAGAAACATTAATGTGTGGTTGCCCCTCACACACCACAACTGGGGACCTGGCCCAGGCATGTGCCCTGACTGGGAATCAGGCCAGCACTCAATCCACTGAGCCACGCCAGCCAGGGCTCTCTTTTTATTTTTAAAACAAAGTATTTATAAGTTTTATTTTAGTTGCCATCACTGTGTCTTAAATAACACTTTCTTGGTTCTCCAGGAAACCTATTGACAAATTCCTAAGGTCCAATGATTATGACACTTCTTTTTTGATATGTTGGATTTTATTTTTAAAAATTATACAAATGGCACATGTACATGAGTTAAAAACACAAAGAAAATGTAGGATGTTTAAAAAGAACACAAAAGAAACGTGAGTCATAAAACAAAACAATTGCATTCTATGAATCCAAATAAAAAGATATTTTGTTTACTAAAAGTGTTATCCAAGTACATTAAGAAGTCTTTTGATTAGGAATACAGCACAAGACTTTTCTGAAACTGTTCATTAACAGATCAAAGTCAGTCACTGTGTACAGGCTGGATCATTACATTATCGTACCAGCTACTGGCAGGTTATTAAATATATGTGAATATGATGCAGTGTCTGTGAGGTATTACAATAAATAAATTCTTTATTAGTCATTTAGTCAAGTTAGCAGTGGAAGTTAACATTTCAACTTTCCATAGAGAAACCCCATCTCCATTCCTTTTTGCCCTCTAGTGATTTTCAATGAAGGTTTTTCACCCTTAGAAGAGAAAACACAAAAAAAATTGAAATTTTGTGTTAAAACACCAAATGCTACATTTTGCTTTATGTTTTTACTAGAAAAGTCTGTGTACCAAGGATGGGCTGTGTTACAGACACTTAAAGAACAATGGGTGTGGTCTCTATTGAGGTATAATTGACACAATACTATATTAGTTTCAGGTTTACAACATAATGATTGAAAATTTGTATATATTACAAAATGATCACCACAACTCTAGTTAACATTCATTACCATTCACAGTTACAAAATTGCTTTTCTTGTGATGAAAACTTTTAAGATCTACTCTTTTCCCTCTTATGTTTAAATAATTAAGCAGAGTTACAGCTAAAACAATTTACTTTGTTTGCTTTCTTGTATTACTGAAGTTGTAATGCTTTGATGCTTCCTTTGATGCTTTTGAAGGGATTTGACAATGTGCCTCATCTTGAGGTACATCAAGAGCTACTGCTTTGACTGGATCATGCCTTTTATCTCAGAAGCTCCAAAAACTTCTGAGACATTCTGGTGCAGGGCCAGAGAGAATACTGTCACAGATGGGCAGGGCTGAGTCCTGGTTCTCCATTCACTAGCTGTGCAGCCTTGAACAAATAACTCACCCACCCTAAGTCTCACCTGCCTCAGATGTAAATGGAGACAATAACAATACCACATCATAGGACTACTACCCTCACAACACACAGGGACATTCTGGCTAAGTAATCAAAAATAAATTTGTTCTTATTTAGAAATTTGGGGCTGTGAGGTATTTTTCATACTTCATAAGTATATGCCCATACAGAAAAGTTATGAAATTTTTCAGAAACAAAATGTGACTGATAAACTTATGTAAACAGGACAAACCTGGCAACATATCCACACATGCAGTGTTTGAATTTTACTTGAATCCATTCAAAGGAATGCTCCCTATTTCAGTCCTTTGTTATTAGAGTTTCATTTTCAAAGACTTACTTTGACAAATGTAGTACTCATAGTATCTAAAAGTGGTTTTTCACTGTCCTGCTCTTCTTCAGCTTCTTCAGATCCTGCTTCTGATTCAGGAGGAGAATAAAACTAACCATCAGAAAGACCACCAGGTATAAGTGCCACCCTCTCTGAAGCATCCTGAACTATCAGGAGTCTTTCTTCTTCTGCCTCTTCCAAGTGAGGTAACACTTGGAAATCCGGGAACCACGTCAGGATCCAGACAAGGATAAAATGAATAGCAAAAGCCCCTTGAGAGGATCAGTTTTGCTAGTAGAAAGGTACTGGTTACTGCTGTCATCTACTCTATTACCCACCAATGGTGCAGCCTGTCTACAGCATTAACAAGTATTAACACTTTGAATCAAAAACTGTGTTCTGGCCAAGATGGAGGCATAGGTAGACATACTGTGCCTCCTTGCACAACCAAAATAAGGACAACAAAAAATTAGAAACAAAATAACAACCAGAACTGACAGAAAATTGAACTGTATGGAAGTCCGACAACCAAGGAGCTGAAATAGACACATTCATCCAGACCAGGAGGCAAGGTGGAGTTGGGCAGCCGAGAGGAGAGGGGTCATGGCACAGGAAGGGATGACACTGAGCACACAAGGCACCCCTGGTGCGCAAGATGAAGCAGGTAGACCCTGGGCACGCAGGCTGCAGCTGGCAAACCCCAGGCACTGGGTGGCAACAAGCAGACCCAGTGAGGCCGCAATTGAGAAGTGGGGCACCGTGCACAAGGCGGCTGGCTGACCTGGTGGTGTTCCACATTCACATACAGATAACTGGGGAGCGAGATAGACCATGCAAACCAGGGTCCTAGCGCCAGGAAATAAAGTTTCAAAACACTGATTGAAAATACCTGTGGGGGTTGAGGCGCAGGGAGAGACTCCCATCCTCACAGGAGAGTTCATTGGAGAGACCCACAGAGTCCTAGAATGTACACAAGCCCACCCACATGGGAAATCAGCATCAGAAAGGCCCAGTTTGCTTGGGGGAAGTGGCAGAAGGGACTGAGGTCTGACACAGAGCAGAGCAAGTGCCATTGTTCCCTCTCAGACCCCACCCCTACATGTAGCATCACAACCCAGGAACTGGGTTGACCTGCCCTGGTGAACACCTAAGGCTCCACCCCTTACTGTGTAAAGGGCAAGACGAGGCAAAAAAAAAAAAAAAAAAAGGCCAAAAAGGAAGAACAGATCAAAGCTCCAGAAATAATACAATTAAGCAATGAAGAGATAGCCAACCTATCAGATGCACAGTTCAAAGCACTGTTGATCAGGATGCTTGCAGAATTGGTTGATTTTGGTCGCAAGTTAGATGAGAAATGAAGGCTACACTAAGTAAAATGAAGCAAAGTGCACAGGGAACCAATAATAATGAAAAGGAAACTGGGACTCAAATCAAAGGAGTGGACCAGAAAGAGGAAAAAAATGACCAAACAGAAAAAAATGTAGAAACAAGAATTCAAAAAAATGAGGAGAGGTTTAGGAACCTCCAGGACATCTTTAAACGTTCCAACATCAGAATTATAGGGGTGCCAGAAGGGGAAGAGGAACAGCCACGAGTGGAAAACTTATTTGAACAAATAATAAAGGAGAATTTCCCCAATCTGGCAAAGAAAATATACTTCCAGGAAATCCAGGAAGCTCAGAGAGTCCCAAAGAAGTTGGACCCAAGAAGGAACACACCAAGGCACATCAGCATTACATTAGCCAAGATTAAAATGAAGGAGAGAATCCTAGAAGCAGCAAGAGATAAGGGGACAGTCACCTACAAAGGAGTTCCCATCAGACTGTCAGCTGATTTCTCAAAAGAGACCTTACAAGCAACAAGGGGCTGGAAAGAAGTATTCCAAGTCATGAAAACCAAAGACCTACAACCAAGATTGCTCTATCCAGCAAAGTTTTCATTTAGAAGGGAAGGACAGATAAAGTGCTTCTCAGATAAGATCAAATTCAAGGAGTTCATCATCACCAAGCCCTTATTTATATGAAATGTTAAAGGGACTTATCTAAGGAAAAGAAGACAAAAAACATGTATAGTAAAATGACAGCAAACTCACAATTATTAACAACCATACCTAAAACAAAAACAAAGTAAGGAAACAACTACAACAGGAACAGAACCACAGAAATGGAGATCACATGGAGGGATAGCAACAAAGGAGTGGGAGGAGGAGAAGGGGGAAAAGGTACAGAAAATAAGTAGCACAGATGGTAGGTAGAAAATAGGGGGAGGGCAGGAATGGTATGGGAAATGTAGAAGCTGAAGAACTTAAGACACATGGACATGAAATAAAGGGGGGAATGTGGGTGGGAGAGGGTGTGCAGGGTGGAGGGGAATGAAGGGAAGAAATGGGACAATTGTAATAGCATAATGAAAAAATATATTTAAAAAACTGCCTACATATGAATATGTACATGTATGTGTGTGTATGAAGACATCGTACTGCACCACCTTCTTCTCTAATGTAGTCTCAATGCCTCCATTCACATTTAACTGTTATTCACAGAATGTTACAAATAAGAGGTCAACTGTGACAAACAGAAATTCCTCCTGGCATCTAATATACCTTTCTTCCCCTTCCTTCATGGGACTCAATTCTGGCCATGAAATGTGTAGAGTTGATGGAATGGACGTCATGCAAAGAAGCCTGAGAGCTCTGGCTCCCTGTGAAACAGTTCTCCAAGTCTTGTGGCATTGAGTTCATTTTGGAGGGAAGTCAAAGTAGCCTTTCTCCAATTCACCATCCCTGGAAGAAAAGATTTCATTGCATTGTTCTGGGAGACTGCCCCAGACTGGCCCAGGAATAGCAACTCCATGGTCACACCCGTGGGACCCTCGGGGACCCTCCCTTGCAGAAGAGTGGCCTGGGCAGGGGGGACCCAAGGATGGATCCCTGCAGGCAATGCACCATCCACCACCTTGGCACACTTCTAGCAATTATAAGGATCTTTCTGATCAAAATTGAAAACCTTGAGGTTTTGTGCCTCACCCTTTCAAGCAGTTTTTCCATGAAGCTAAAATGACTTTTAAAGAAAACTTCCTTGATGGCACCTCTCAGTTAGGTTCATATTATAAGGTTCCCATAGCCCCCTCCTTCATTACATTCATCACATTTGAAATTATGTGATCAGTATCTGTTTGTGAACAAAAACTACATCTGTATTATTCATTGCCTTATTACCAACACTTATCATAGTTTCTGGCACATAGAAGGTGTTCAACAAATATTTGTTGAATGTCTAAATGAGTGGAAAACACTAGACACAAATAAGGTAGCTTCCAGAAACATCAACTACATGATACTGAACACGATTATGATGCTGAACAACATATCAAATGATAATGATATGACAATTTTGGCAAAGAATTTGAGGTGGTATTTCTAAATTACTGATATATAATAACTTACTTTTGTTTTATACCCATAGCAATTTAATGTAAGTACTGAAGTAGAGCAAGCCACTTTCTCTGAAACTCTATAAACTTAGTAAAACCTCTGAATTTCTTCTGTTCTATTGATCATGTGGGCAATTTATGGCCAATAATAATTTTTATTGGGACTCCTTTAATTTCTAGGGCCTTTAGTAATAAAGTCTCAGTAGCTTGGCCCTTACTTAGTACCATTACAATGTCTTGTATCAGTTGAGGGGCCCACTGATGTGCTTTTGCAAAAATTCTCACATAAGACCATTTCACAACATATTTGAGTTTCATAAATGACAAATTGATACAGATGGTGCAATCCTGTAACATGAGCAACTATGAATTTACCAAGCTATTCACTACATTCATGAAATTTAGATCTTTTAACAATTTTAGCTTAGATCAAGTATCTCAGTGTTAAGTAAGGCAAGTTTGGGCCCCTCAAACTGTCTTAGGAAAGCAAAACTTCTTTTAGGGCCTTACTACTCAGAGAACAGAAGCAGCAGCAGCACCTAGTACTGTGCACTGAATGTGTCCCCCCCAAACTCATGTTAAAGTCCTAACTCCCAGTGTGATGATTTTGGAGTGGAGATTTGAGAGGCAATTAGGTTTAGATGAGGTCATGAGGGTGCAGACCTCCTATAAGAAGAAAAGAAACCAAAACTCTTGCTCCCTCTGCTATGTGATGATACAGGAAGAAGGCTGTTGTCTGCAAGACAGGAAGAGGGTTCTCACAGGAACCCAACCTGCTAGCACCCTGATCTTAAGACTTTCAGCCTTAACAACTGTGAGAAAATACATTTCTGTTATTTAAGCCACGAGTCTGTGGTATTTTTTTTAGGCAACCAAAGCTAAGACACTTGGAAATTTGTTAAAATGCTGAATCTCAGATCCTACGGCAGACCTGTTGAATCAAAACCTGCATTTTTATAAGATCTTCAAGTGATTTTCATACTTGCTATATGGCACAATTAAGGTTTGGGAAGCCCTATATTGGGGACCTACATCATAATAGAATAAAAACCACCTAGACACTCAATCCCAGGACACAGGTTCCCTGGTGTCAAATTCCTCAGCACACTCCCAACCAGAAGTACTGCACTGCGGACCAATCCTTAAAAATAAAACCTTCAGGGATGGCTTTCCCTGCTTCCTTGTTAACAAGATTTCATCCTGAGGCTAGTGGTACCATGTTAAGATGTAATGAGTAAACAGGCAAAAAACAAGCAATCCTTTGACAACAGGTAAGTACTTTTTCCAGCTTTATTGAAGTATAATTGACCAAGAAAATGTTATATATTTAAAGTATACATAAAGACTTGGCATATTATACTTTGTGATATAATTAGCACAGTCAGGTTTACAGATCCATCATCTCACAGTTACCTTTGCATACATTTGGTGAACACACTCAAGGGCTACAATCTTAGCAAATTTCAAGTAGACAACAGTATTTTAACCTGAATATGCTTATTCACCTCATAATGGAAAACTTATACCCTTCAATAACAGTTCTTTATTGTAAAAACTAACCCTCTCAACCTCACTCTAAAATCACACATTCACATATCAGAAAGTAGCTTTAAGAGGAACCTAAAAGGTGTGAAAATCACAACTAAGTTAAACCATGTATCTCTTGACATAGTGAAGTCCACTCAAGCAAATTTTCAGCTGTCAAAAGTGTTGATAGGCCACCAGATTCTCCTCTTCCTCTTCAGTGGGCCCCTCTTTACCATATTTCCAAGCTCATCAGTGACACACTTTTAAAGGACCCAGGAAAAACAGCATACAATTTCACTTTTGTTTTCTGAATCACAAGTGCCTATGCTATCACTTTTATTACTAGACCTATGTCTAGCACTAAGTAAGGTTACGCCTGGTTTTAGTTTAGTTTTGCTTTTTAGTTGACTTTTCTTTCTGTTTTATTGTGATACCTTTGCCATAGAGCACTGTATAACTTTAAGGTATACAGCATAATGAAATGATCTACATATTTTTACTTTTTATTTGTTAGTTTTATTTGTTAGTTTATTTGTAGAAAGATCTACATATTTCTACATGATAGAAATAAGATATTATGAAATTAGACATATACTTCAGGTAATTTTTAAAACAATTTATTTACTTACTTTTAGAGAGGAAGGGAGTAAGAGAGGGAGAGAAATATCAAAGTGTGGTTGCCTCTCATGTGGGTGCCCCTACCAGGGACCTGGCCTGCAACCCAGAGCTACTCCAGCCAGAGCTACTTCAGGTCATTTTCTTAATGAAATGTGATGAGCTGTCACTATTGACTAAAATCAAAGAAGTTTCTGAAATTCTTATGGATCTTTCTTTCCTCCTTACGCTGACAATCCCTTACCCCCACACCCCAAGGCTGAGTGAATCCTCAGTTCCCACATCTGTCTCCTCCCAGAATAATTTCCTGCTCCTACGTCTGAAAGACAATGGAGCAATGATACACTCACACTGCCCCCTCCTGGCCCACCTACTCACTATCAAGGAGCACACATATCCACTCTTGCAAGACCCTCTGCTCCCACTCCTGCAAAAAAAAGAAAAACAAGAAAATGCCCCGCAAAAGTCAAATGTCTTTATTTATATTAAAAAAAGTTTGTACAGTTTTAGTTCCTATGTTTAAGAAAAAATCCCTAAAATTGCCATAATGTTTAGATTCACTGCAAACTATAAAAACAAGCTTTTTATATATTAAAGAGAAATTTACATTTTACAATTTTCTACACGCATGCACAAGGTCTCAGTTCTGTAAACCACCCCTCCCCCCCCAAAAAAAAGAAAAGAAAAATGTCTAAATCCAACAGTAGAAAATTCTACATTTACAATCTCACTTGGAAGAGACTCAAAAAGCCCTCTTCCTTTCGCACACAGAGAACAAATCACAACAAACACACACCAGGACCAAGTCCATCAGCAGATGCTGCCCGTGGAGAGGACAGAAAAATGAGAAGACAGACTGACAGACACTACAGAGGGTTGGAGAACTCATCTGGGCCCAACAGTGAAGCACAAACTATGGGAAACAGATGTTTGATATGAAAAGATCAGGGATCCCAATGTCTCCTCGCAGGGTTTACAACAGGAATAACCAGGTGGGGGTGGGGAAGTGAGAAATTAGGGCTGAAATGCAGGGGGAAGAATATAAGAGACAAAAGGGAAATAAGCAAGAATAAACACAGTACAAAGAGTAGATTACAGAAAGGGACCAATGGGGACAGCCACAGAGTGGCGAGGTAGGTGTAGGACTGAGGCACAGTGTCCTGGTAAAAAGGAATGGAGGGTGAGTGTTCCAAAGTGATGAAAAGAAAAACCTAGTGGGGCTGCACTAGGGTGCCACACAGTCAGAGAGAGAAAGAGAACGTGGGAAAGACCTGGCCACACAGCCACAGTATCCCCTACAATGACAGGGAAAAGGGTAGGAGTGAGGGGCTGTGGCAATAGGTGGGCACCCCACAGGGAAGAATGAGAAAATCTGGAGAATGATGGAACAGGCAAAGTGAAGGACACTGCTCAGAGGGACTGAGTCAGCTGCATGTCCCACAGCAGGTCACAGCATGAAGACAACCTTCCATACAGGAGAAGCAAAGGACAAACATAGCCATACACTTGACAATTCATCCCAACATTTAAAAAAAAATAATAATAATAATCAAAGAAAACAAAGATACCACAGTTCTGATGCAAAGGACCAAAAGACCCCATTCTTAGTCATGGCCCTTAGTGCTTAGAGTTGGTGGGAGGGGGGTGGGGTGGGGAAGGGAGATTCTTTTAGGAAAAAGGAATGAAAACATCACAGTGATTAAAAACATGGCAGGTTCTCAAAATAAATACTCCTGTGCCCCTAACCTAGGGCAGCAACAAAGATCCCAAATAGTTTCCAACTCAGTCCTTAAACCATACCATATCCCATTCCTGCCCACAAAGGCAATGACCCCAATCACCATCCAGGCCCTATTTTCCAGGATAGTGAGGTATTTAGAAATGTGACCCAGAGGGTCTCTTCCCAAACCAGGTCTCTAAAGAAAAGATACCTTCCCAGTACCTCCAGGAAAGGATGTATTTCCCTCAGGTCTATCCAAAACCCACAGCTCCTGGCTGAGGCAGACCTCCAGGCCCTGCCTAAGTCAGCCCCGAAAACCAACCCTCTGGGAGTAAGGTAAGCACTGGCTGAAGAGCCCTTCTCTAGTAAGTGGTGGGTGGACAAATGTGCTTTTTCAGAAAGAACAGCAGGAGAAATGCCCATCACTAGGGTCCACCAAGCCCAGGAATGCCACAACACAGAGAGGAAGCCTCCCTGCTGAGACATCAGTGGGGATCTTAATCTAGGGTACACTCTACAAGGCAACAACCAATGAGCTTTCCAGGGAAAAGATGGACCTACCAGGAGCATCATGAGTTATTAGAGGACAGACCCTGGGTATGTACCAGCCCAGTCACTAGAATGATCCACTATATGGATCCTGGATGGAGGTATCTGGATACTTCCTAGTTCTATTCCCCTTGGCTAAAACTACATGATTTAAAGGCTCAGATTTACACTAAATACATGTTTTAAGAGGGCCAGTTAATTTCCATCTCATTTTGCTCAAAATGAGATGGAAATTCTCAAGAATTCAGATTGAGTGAAAAGACTATTAAAGGTAAATGGAGTAAAGGGCTAAGTACCCACAAAAGGCAGCAATCCTGGTCCTTCACCTCAACACAGAGGGAGACCAGAGCCCAGAGAACCAGGCAGAGAGAGAAGAGGAAGGGACCCTGGCAGCCAAGGAAAAAAGACCCCTGAGAAAAAGAGGTGGACTTAAGGCAGGGGATGAAGAGGAGCTGCTGCCTCCCCCTAAAAAAGAGATGAGGCATCAGGTCTCTAGAGCTGAACAGAGACAGCAAGACTGGGGGTAGCTATGAAAGAAAGAAAAATGTTTGCCTAAGACCACTGGTGTTGGGTTGGGGTCCACAAGCCACTAATTCTGTACAGGAGTCTACATGCCATCCTTCCCTGGAAAGAGGAACCTGCCGCACTAAGGTGGGAATGAAGGTGGAGGGGAGGTTCAGAGGGCAAGGATCAGTGATGTTCGGGGGGGGGGGGGGGGTCCTCTCCTACCCTTCCCTCAAGGGCTGCCTAGGAGAGAACCATAGGAAGAAAGGAGGTCACAGACAGTTTCTGCCTCAGTTTACCCATGGTCACACATGACCATACAAGTCAAAAACAAAAGGTGGAGATTTCAGAGTAAAGAAGAGATATTCCCTTGCTCTGAGTATGTGTGGCTGGTGTGGGAGGCTCTAATGACTAGGAGCAAATAACCCTGACAAGGGACCCCTAACTCTGGGGCTGTGTGGGAAGACACAGGCATATATCCTTGACTCAAGAATTCAGGGTCTGTTACAGGTGGAGTGAGTTGCGAAAGGGGTGAATCACCTGCTGTCTGGAGGTTTCAGGAAACTGCTGCCCTGGAGAATTTGGCACTGCGGTTCTCTGGAGTCATGTTTGTGTCCTCCAGAGACAGCCTGTCAGGAGCCGCTAGAGAGAACAGCCACAAGAACCTGGGTTTGAGAGTGGGGGCTCAGGAAAGCCCTGTGCACTTTCAAAAAAAGACCATCATCCACGGAGAGGAGAGGGAGAGAAGCAGTGGTTCCTATAGGGCCTGGAAAGATACAAAAGTGAGGGCAGAGGAGACGGATTTCCCAGGTACTGCTGGCAGCAAGATGGTTTCTCCAGGTTCCAATGAGGTGAATGAGGAAGAGACAGAGTACGGGTAAGTTAATTCAAGTAAAAAAAAAAAAAAAGAGGGTAAGATGGGTAAGAGCTGCAGGAAGGGGGCTGAGCCTGAGCACCAAGCCCTCCCCATCGCCCTATGAGCTCCCCCACCACCCAGCCTCCCACTGCTGTTACATAGTCACACTGAGGTCTCAGACTGCAGCCTCATAACAAACTTGTGGGACTTGGGGTCCACAAACTCCTCAGAGAGTTTAAAGAAGGGAACCTTCCTGGTGCTGACCACCAGGCTAAAGTCCTGGCGCTTTAAAAGGAAAATAATGCCATCCTTAAGCCCATTGGTCACCGGCTCCTCGCTCACCAGTGTCCACTGTTTGGCCAGCCAGCGTTCCTTGTGGTACTGGATGGTGGGTCCGGCCTCCAGGTACCGCTCTAGGAAGGCCTGCCGAGGGGAGAAGGAGTTGTGTTAGAAGCTCTTCCACCCACCCTCCCTCCTGCATCCCCTGGGGGCACAGCTTCCAAAGACAACCAACATGCCCCCAGCTCACTGTACATATGATCTTATTAGAATGTCAGAGCGGGAAGAAGCCTGAGATGATCTGCTTCAGACCCTTGCTTTATAAGTGGGAACCCACAGAGGCAATATGGCTCAACAGGGTCAGGACTGGAACTCGGCTGTCCTGACATCCTCATCCTCTGCTCTTTCCCCTGTACCATGGGATGACCTGGGCAAGCTCTCCCACATTCCTCCTTCCTCTCCATTCAGGTGGCATGATTAGCGACAAGCAGGTCTACACCAGCAGAAAGTTAGAAGTGTCATGATTCAAATGCAACATCTTTAGTCATTCATTCACACCAAGGATGGCTCAGGGGAAACAAGTCCAGAAAGTGGACAGTAGAGTTGAGAGATGGGTAATGGCTCAAATAGAACAAAAAAGACCTGGTGGAGGTGAAGGGGTAAATGGGATTTTGGATCTGGAAATTCCAGAGCTCTTCTACAAATGAGAAATAGTTCTTGCCATTCTCAAAATGGTCCCAAAGCTCCCCCTTCTAACCGCTAAGAACTTTACCCCATACAGAGATGGGAAGGATGGAGTAGAAATGCAAGAAGAGACTATAAGGAGATAGACATGAGAAAGAGAGACTGAAAGAGAGCAAGAGATGGAGAATAAGAAAAGAAGTGAGAGAATATGGGAAAAGAGAAGTGGAAAAAAAAGGGCCAGAATTAGAGAAAGAGGAAGGATGCTGAAGGTGGAACAGCCCTACCTTAGGTGTCATGTCATGTGTAATGCAAAACTCCAGGTGCTGCAGGATGCTCTCCATGGTGTGGTAAGGCTGCTGCTTGGTGGTCCGGAGGTACTTCTGCATGGCACGAGCCATGGATGCAAAGATGGCCTGGGCTGCCTCCCGGGGGTCCATCACCTCCCTGGGGTTCTTCTGCTCCTCTTCCTGCAGCCGCTTAATGTGAGTGAAGGCCTCCTCCACTGCCACCACAAGCCTGGGGGACAGGAGGGATCTGGACCAGACACATACCTCTCATCTTCCCCTCCCCCCAAGCTCCAGCCCTCTAGTAGCAAGAATAAGGTCAGGCCTTTGTGCTCTTGAAGAAGTACTGGGAGAGGGTAGGAGCATTTCCCTCAGTGGGGACAGGAAACAGCTGTAGAGCTCAGTGAACCAGCCCAGCCCAGGGACTCAGAGAGGACACTCTAGTGTCGAACCCAGAGAGACAACTAGGAACTGTGTTATGGAAAAGACCAGCAAACCCTAAGAAAAGCCTTCCTAAATAAGTCACTCAAAACACATTTCATGGGGGGGAATGAATAGATACAACCACATCAAAATGACATTTCTATTCAACCACAACAGCATGGGCAGCACTAATGAACATCTGTTGGGGCTGGGGCAGAATGCAAGGAATTTGCTAGAAATCAAGATGAAAAAAGGCAAAAACACTACAGAAAAATGGGCAAAAAAGATGAACAAACAATTCACAAGAGACCTAAAAGGCTAGAAATATATGAATAAGTCACTTACTAGTAATTTGAAAAATATTTATGATGTTAACAAGATACTACTTATCTAATAAAATGTAAAAAACCAGGAAGATGATTATAATCCAAACACTGGTTAAGATTTGTAAAAATTCCATGAACTACTCTGCAGAGATAGGATGCAACAAGCTGGATGTGTAGGCAACATCAGTGAATCTCAGAAACACAGTGTTAAGGGGGAAAGAGAAAAAATAAGCCAATTTACATCAAAAGCATAAAGACACACAAACCAACACCAGTATTCAGAAGCCCTTCAACTAGCTTAGAAAGGGATTCTGGGTTACGTGAATGTGTGCATCTGTGCACATCAACAGTCTCCCTGTTTATTCTTTTGCTTCACCTAAGCTTCTCAGTAAAGTTCTTTTTCAAATGATCCTGTTGTCTCAGGAGCACCAAGGGAAAAAAAGTTTTCTTCTGCTTGTAACACAGGTAACAGGAAGGAAAGGGTTCCTATAGGCCAAGAATGGTCACGCAGAAAATCTGAAGACCAGGATGGAAAGTAAGAGAGCAGGGGACATCTCTGGTTTCCTTCCCAAGAGAGCCACTTCTAAGACAACTGGGAACATGTTGGAATGTTGCAGATGAGGTTGGTGATCTTTGATCTACTGCTGAAGACACCAGGCTTGTGGAAGGACAGGCTACCCTCCGCCTTTGAGACCTGGATATCCACATGAGAGGAGGGACCTGAGACCTTCTGCTCCTCCCCTTGGAAATTCTGACAGACCCATGTGGGACCAGCAGCAGTAGGCACCAAGGAAGGTTCTTCAGGCTCTACTTAAATTTGCATAATAATGTGTATAGAAAAAAGGAAGCAGTGAGGACAGCCTTTAAGAGTTTACCAAGACATGGCACTCAACCTTCATTTTTTGCAGGTAAAAATGTACCATGTGCCGAGCAAGACTTCAAGATCTGCTGTTAGGTCTCGTCAGCTTCAGTCCCTGCTACTGCAGGGAAGACTCACATCTTTTCACTGGGTCACTGGCCCACTGTGGTAGGCAAAATTCAAAGATGCCTCCATCCACCTCTGCCAGGTTCCCACTCCCTGATGATTCAATAACCATGGTACATTTTCAGGATATAATTAAAGTACCAAATCAGTAGACTTTAAAATACGGGATTGTCATGGTGGGCCTGATCTTAACCATGTGAGCCCTTTCAAAGCAGTTTTCCCCGGCTGATGGCAGAAGTCAGAGACCTGTTCCTGCTGGCCTCAAGAAAAAAGCCAATCACATGTTGTGAAGTGCCTACAGAGCCAGGTGACAAGGTTCTGCCAGCAACCAGTGAGCCTGGAAAACAACCCAGGCTCAAATTTCAGCCCCTATGACCTCAATGGAGGTCTGGTAAACCCCACCTGACACAGGGACTGTGACTTGTTTTGGCAGCAACAGAACATGAATACATGCACCCACCCTTAACAGTGCTCGCTCATCCATCTATTGCCAACCATTACAAAAACCAGATGGTTTTCCTCTCCTGACCCTATCCACACCCACCACCCTCCAGGAACCCACCTGGCCCTCCGCTTGCGCACCCTCCGCTCATGCTCTGCCTCCTCGTAGTAGTACTCATTGTGGCTGTTGTCCCGCCTCCGGGCTGCTGCAGCAATCACAGCCCGGGACTGGCCTGTGGAGTTGCTGGTGCTGTTTTCTGCACAGGAGCAGGGGAGAGAGGGGTTGGGCACGTTGGAGCATGGCCTTGGTTCTCACTCCAGGAAGTCTGGAGACAGCAATCTGACACGTCCTGAGGAAGCTATGCCCACCCCCAGCAATATCTCCTGTTCCCAACCCTCGTGACCACGGCTGGGAGAGACCCACAAAAAACGGTAAGGTGGCACTGGAGGGCAGAAGCTCTGCACATGTTTCTCGCCAGTGCAAGAAGTTCTGGAGCTCAGAGAGCCGAGGGCTTGGGACCAGGGCTGATGAGCAGATGGAGAGGAGCCAGACTGGAAGGATACACCACGGAAAAATGGGACAGCAGGTAAGATCAGCACCTAAGACCAACCACCTGGAGTCAAGGGAAAGGACAGGACAGAAGATGCTGGAACAAGGGCTGAGGAAAGGAGAAAGCAAGGATAGGAGGGTACGAGAAAAACGGGGAGGAAGTAATTTGGAATCCTCCTTGGGAAGAGACCAGGAGGGCTGAGGAGCAGGGCCGCTCACCCTCTCCGAGGGAATACACCTTGAAGCCAGACACTTTCTTGGCCAGCACGGACTTGGGCAGGTTGAGAAGGGCGGGGTTGTAGACAGGGAAGTCATGGTAATACTTCTCCAGGATCCACACTGCCACTCGCTGGATGCTGTGGGGGAGACGCAGAAGGGGGAGGGAGGAGGGACAGGCAAGGAACACAGGAAAAGGGATACATCAGGGCAGGTCGGCAGGGCAGGGAAGGACACAGGACAGGGACAAGCTGCTTCCAAGAAGCCTGGCTCAAAGCCTGAGGTCTACTTACCAGGCTCCCAAGCCTTTCCCAGGGCTAGGCCTCCTAGTCTTTCCCTGCCATGCCATAGCCCAGCGGAAAAAGGGCATTGGACCTGGGTCCCTAGCCAAGGGTCACTAATTCCTTTCAAGATTTCCTCCCACGATTCCCTATAGGAACAGAAAGTGCTACTGATATTCTGTATGGTATGTATAATATGGGAGCATCCTGCTCACAAGTATAGGTGTGGGGGCAGAGCTGAAGGGCTCTCCTTATCATTTTTTACTCTGGGGGTCCCCCCTCTGGCCAGCTCATCTCAGTGACCACTCATCCTGTGCTCACAAGAGGCTGTGCCTCCAAGAAAGAAATAGAAAAGTGATTTCCCAAAAGCCTGTTTGTGCCACAACTTGCACCTCTTTAGCCACTCCCCCTCTAAGATCTCTAACTGTTCATTTGCTCACTACTACCACATCGTGCCAAACCAGACCCTGGGCATCAAGCAGCAAACACTGCTGGGAACTCCTTCCCACATGGCCCTCCTTGCCCATCATTTCCAGCCCCACCGTTGCACCCCTTGCCTTGTGGAACCCCAGCCTCCTTCCCATGCCTGTCTGCCCCAGGTGGTCATACCTGAGATGGCCCACGTTGTAGAAGCGGCTGGCTCCATCAGTGGAGCGTACAACCTTGAGTGTGAACTGAGGCTGCAGTTGGCGCAACTCCAGCAGGACCACTGCCAGGTAGTGTACAAAGAGCAGGGCATCCACCAGCGAAACAGCAAACTGCACCACACCCTGGTAGCTGCGTTCCCGGGCATCCAGGATGCGCACACCGTAGAAGAGCCAGTAGGAGACAACAAGCAGGAAGACGAGCACCATGAGCAGGGCACGCAGCACGAAGACGCGGGGCAGTGAGACCTTGGGACGGCGGAAGAACAGGGCCCAGCTGCCCAGCAGCAAGATAAGAAGCTTGAAGGCCACAGAGATGAAGAGGCCTTCGCAGGCTGTCCCACAGGGCTCCAACTCCTCCCGCCACAGCAGAGGAGGCAGCAGCAAGAAAGCCAATGGTGTGAGGAAGGAGAGCAGCGCCAGCGTGGTACCAGCAGCCACCCCCAGGTGACGGGAGCAGTCCAATGGGACACTGTCCTCCATGTCCTTGGTGATTCGGGTGAGGTCATCATGGGAGATGCTGTGTTCTGAAGTACCTGTTACTACCGTGGTCGTTTCCCCCCAGTTGTCATCCTACAGCAATGAGGGTGAGGAGAACAGGAGAAAGGACAAGGGGCATGAGAGAAGAGAACAGAAAGATACGAGGGCAATCAGCTGGTATGAAGCCATCAATGAACAGCCTGAGCTCCAATGTGTCCAAGCCTGACCATCTGAAATTTGGACACTGAGGATCTTTATATCAGTGAGAATAACAACAACAAAAAAACCCTGCACATGCACAGATGACCCTCAGAGCAGAGGGTACGAGAAAGATGCTGAGGGAGATGCTCAGGCCATGACTGGGACTTAAGGTAACACTAATCAGGCAAAGCAGATAGAAGACCTACAATACTAGGGTAAGCAAGAAACACCTATTCTCCAGGCACTGAGAGCCACTGGAGGTTTCTGACGAAGGGAGTAATGTGGCAAAAGCAGCACAGTGAAGAAAAGGGGGACACTAAGGGGAACAGAGGGGGGAAGGTGAGTGATTACTGCAGAGTGTGGGAGACATGGTGCAGACTAGCACCACTCTGGCTCTGTGGTCTGCCCAGCCAGCTCTGCTGGGCCATCTATATGCCCACAGCACAGGGGCTGCCTATTCCTGAAGGCAAGGGGTGGACAGGCTGAGGTCCACAGATGCCCTTCTGAGTATGGTCCTCTAAAGCTATTTCTCTAAAGAGGCTAGATACCATCCCACAGAGGAGCCACAAGACCACCAATGGCCATCAGCATCCATGCTCTTCACTCCTGTGTCCATATTCTGGGGATATGGAGTCATACCCTACACCCTGGGGATTCAGGTTACAGGACTGAGTCATGGGATGAGGCATGTTGGCAACTGCCTGGCAGAGTCCAGGAGTAGGAGGTTGAGGAAGCTTCTCTCCCAAACACAAGAGTCTAATCTGAAGACAGAAAGTGGAGGCACTGACCAGTTTCAGCTCAAAGAATAGGGTCTACTCCTCAGTCTAGTATGACCCTGGATATATCACCTACCCTTTCCAATGATGAAGGCTTGGCCATGCCTCCCAACAGCAAGTGAACCTATCACATCTTGGGGTCACTTTAAAAACTCAGGAGGCCAAGTTGCAGGGAGAAGACAGGATTGCAAAAAAGGGAAAACAAACACTTTTCTTGGGTACTGATCTGTCCCCAAGACCAGGAATTCCCAACATTAGTCACAAGGGGTTTCCTCACAAGGGGTTCTTGTGAGGAAAAAATAGCTGGGAGTCTCCAGTCCCCTAAGATGCTCCTGAGAAAATAGAGGAGGGACGAGACATGGGCAACCTAGGGTCGTCTCGTATCTTGGCTCTGCCCTATTTTTAGCACTGTGTTCTGCCTACAAATCTCCCTACCAGGCGAACACAGTGGGCAACAGAGGTTAAAGCAGGTGCATTACTGTCCTGGAGAACTCTCTTCCAGCCCCCTCTCCATCTCTCAGCCTCACTTCTCCTCCCTCCCCTTTCTCCAATGACTCCTCCCACACATCATTTACCCCTTTACCCAACACCCAAGCAATGCTATTCTACAGGCTGACACCAGAGGGTACCACAGTGCCCTTGCCTTATGGCTTCAAGAAAAATCAGGGTTGCCCTTATCCCCAGGCCTCGCATAGCACCAGCCCTCCTAACCTAGCTTACCAGGAGCCTGACTGACCAGCATTGGTCAGAGGAACCAGGGAATTCCCACTACACAGCCTAAATCACCCCCACCCCTCTGAAGATGGGGATGAAAGTGGCTGTTGCTCCCAAGAAGATTTCAACTGAAATTCCCTGAATTCTCTTGAAGTAGGGTCTGACCCTGGGACAGATACAACAGGCTCTTTCAGATCTGGAACAGCCTCCCAGACCATCCCCCTCTCTGCACCTCATCCCCCTGATGCTCACCCGCTCATCCCCTCGAGTGGACTCATTGTCCAGCAGGGGCTCCCCTGGAGCCTGGATTGTCACCGATTTATCCCCACGATTCCCATCTCGGCTCTTAGAGCGGTGTCGGTCCCGTCGGTCCCTGCAGCAGGAGGCCAGGGGAACAGGCACAGAAAGTCAACAGGAGAACCTGGGTCTTCTCAGAAGCCACACCCACCCCACTTCCCCCACATGTACCCACCTCTGGAGCACTCCCAACCTCCCTCTGCCACCTGTGTCACCTGTGCTTTCGGGAGCTGCGGGAGTGGCCCGATTTGTAAGAATAGCCCGAATACTGGGATTCAGTGTCCATGGCGTCTGAACGCCGTGCCTTATAGCGCTCCAGGGCCACAGGCTGAGGCCTTTGCGGGGGCCTCACAGCCACCTCCTTCAGCACCGGCTTCTTCAGGCCGAGGGGCACCTTCAGGAAATCAACCGTCACCCTGAGGGACTCTATTTTGCTGGACAGGTGGGCTTCTCTCAGAGAAAATCAAGCAACGCCCCTAGGGAGAGAAAGCAGCTGGTTAGGGGTAGCTGAGCTCCTGGGGACGAGAGGGGGGAATCAGTACAAAGGAAAACCATTCCCGAATGGAAGCTTCAGCAAACAGGGGAGCCCAGCCACTGCCTGAGACTATTACATCCAAGTTCTTTCTCTATCCAAGGGGTCCACTTCCTCCAGCCCTGCATCCTGGGAAGGGAGCCCCTGAAACTGTGCCAAGAGCTCAGTGTGGAAGGATGACAGCAAAGGCCTCCCAGAGTGACTCGACACTGGAGGAAAGAATCAGAGCAATGCTTTCTTTCCTATTCTTAGCCAGGGAAACTGAGGCTCAGAGAGTGCAGTGCAGGCCAGGTTGACAGTGTGTACAAATGGAGACCCCAGACAGCAGGAAGCTCTCCCAGGCCTCACCTTCACCCTGCGGTCATGTCCCACCCCCACTTCACAGCTTCTGAGTGTGCCTGCAGGGGGCTGCCTATAACTGTTCTCTTGGCACTATCTCCCCAGCATCTACGTCAAACACATCCATAGTTACTAGCCAGGTAGGTCAGCTGAGTGTGTGTGTTTGTGCATGTATGTATTAGGGGGCAGGGTGAGGGATGGCAAGTAGTGGGGATAGGGTGAGAAGGAAAGTAGAAACCATTCTCCAAATGCCTAACACCCTGAAATGAGCAAGACTGTAGTTTATCTGGCTATTTGTGTGCTGAGGGGCAGCATCTTTCATCTATACTTTTACATTCTAATTCTGTAGAGAAAATGGCCTCTCCCTCCCACCTCCTCCCCAACTCTCACCCAAATTCTTCTCATTCTTCAGAGCTGGCCCTTAGCCCTTCTCAGAAGTCCACCCCCCACACCTACTCTAGCATCCAATAGTCTATCTTCCCCTCTGACTCCACCAACCATCATCATGCACTGAGTATTTCTGTTTGATCTTCACTCATTGAGTCATCAACTGTTTCTTGGGCACCTACTATGAACTGTGTGCCCTGGGTATCCGGTAGTGAAACAGGCTCTGAGTTAGCAATCTAGCGGGGCAACTATACTCCGAGCAAGTAAGCAGGTACACATACATGACTAACCATACAACTGATGAAAGGGGAAGACCAGGAAACTATCAGAGCCAAATCTAGGGAGTAGGGGCTACTTTAAACTGGTTGGCTCTGGAAAAGTCCTTCTGATAAAATGACATCTACGGCTTAAAGGAGATCAGGAGTTCACTACACAAACTGGAAGAGAAGCCCAAAGAGCAGAGACCCACACATGGAAAGGCGAAAGGCAGGGACAAGCTCAGTGTATTTTAAGAACCTTAAAGGACCAGTGGAGCTGAGGAAGGGAGAGGACAGTGGAAGTGGGAGCTGAAGAAGTCAGGTTATCACAGGATCCGTGGGCCCCGGGGAAAGCTCAGCTTTTATTTTAAGAAATGGAAAGGCTACATAGGACTTCAGCTATGCAGACGTGGAATGGAAAGAGGGAAAAGTAGAAATAGGGATATCGGTAAGGAAGCTACTGCTGTCGTGCAGTCCTGAATGGGACAGAGCAGCAAAGGAAGTAAGAAAGTCGTATTTGAGAAAAAACGGTGGTGATAGGATCCACAGGACCTAATGAGGAGTGGTTGGGGAGAAGCAGAGGGCTGAGACCTCTGGCCTGAGTGAATGAGTTGATGGCAGTGCCATTATAAAGTAGGGAAGACTGTGGAGGAAGCAAGTCTGAGAGGAAAGATGACGATTTCCATTTCCAGCATGCTGAGCTCATGACTTTAGAGGCATTTGAGTAGACAACTGGTGCCAGAGGAGCTGGACTTAGTAGCTGGAGATGCAAGGTCATGAGAATGAATGGAATCACCTAGGGAATTAAATAAGAGGTCCCTGAGAACCCCAATATATAAATGTGTCCAGAGTAAAAGGAGCAGGCAAAGGGCTGAGAAGGTTAGCCTGGAGGAGTGGGCTCTCATGCAGCCAAGGACTCAGAGCTTGTCAAAGTGGGAATGAGATCAGCCAGGTCAAGTGCTGCTGAGAGGTCGATTACGTTAAAAACTAAAATGAGTTTGCTTTGCTTAGTTGTTAACTTTTCCCCAATGAAACTAAACCATCGGCAACTTGCAAATAAGAAGTATAACAGTATCCACCACTCACCTGCCCGTGGGCACAGAGCAAGGAACTGACACCCATGTAGTAAACAAATATGGCTCTGACTCTCAGGGAAATGGCAATGAATGCAGGGGGATGAAATCAATGCTAAGTCCATTCATTTATTCTCCTAACCAAATTATCTGGAGGCACTCCATGGTCTAGTGATGTTTGTTATATCCCCATGTCACAGCAAGTGTGTGACAGAGACATAACACCTTGCCCCAACCACAGCCCTCTCTGAACACCTTTGCCACAAGTAGGGTCCTTGTTGGTCACTCTGTGTGCAGTTTCCATTTTGGGAACCTGCCTCCTAAGAACCCATTCCACTGGTTTAGTCTTCAATATACAGGGTGGACCAAAAATAGGATTACGATTGTGAGTACATGAAACAGAGTTTATTCTCATATTATTATTTAATAATTATTGTACTATTTTCCATACAAACCACTGTAAACCCACTTTTTCCCCACCACGTAGTTTAGACATCTCCTTTACATCTCTCTTCCTATGGCTCAGACTGTTCTCTCCAGTCCTCCTCCTAAAAACTGAATTTCACCAGGAGGTTCAAAGAGAGCAAGTGGGTGACAGACCCATAGCAGTGGGGACATTAAGGGGGAAAGGACTGCCATTGGATTGGGAGAGACACCAGAACCTAGACTTTCCATTCCTCAGCCACAGCCAAGTATTCACATCTGACACAGCCATCAGCAATAAGAACCTGGGATTTGCACCCAAGGATATGTATTCAAAACCTAGCTCTCCCACTGACTAGCTCTGTGACCATGGGCAAGTTACTTCTCTGTGCTTTGTAGTCCAGTAGTCTCATCAGCAAAACTGGAAAAATAATGATACACACTTGGTGGAGTTGCTGTGAGGATCCTGGGGGTGAAAGAAGGGCTTTCATAAACTGCTCAGCTAGTAATTAGGTAAGCAATTAATATGCTCTGGCTCCAGGATCCCTCATACTCCAATCCCTAGACACTTCCTCTGAGACTTAGGAAAGAGGTAGTATAAATAAATCCTGGTGTTAGTGTGACTAAATAAAAAAGTCATACACAGACAGACACACACACACACCCCTCTTACCAACACCACCACTTCAAACACACCCAGAGGGAAACTTATGCCACTGTGTTTCCCCTACAAATAAATTTCAAACCAGACAAGGGTGACAGTACCACCCCCCCACCCCCCCTACCCCCACCCCCGCCAGCCCTTTGTTCTAAGCTGCTCAGCCTAGGGCCCTACCAGCTACTTCAAAGACACAACCAAAACCCTGCTCCCCTGGCCTGCTTCTCCTACCCCTACTAACCCAACTCAGGATACCAAAATAGCCCCAAAGCATGCTCCTCCCTCCCCTACCAAAAAGGGGGCCAAATAACCCAATTTCAGAGACCAATTTTTATCCCCTCAAGTATCCCCAGAAACTAATCCCAGCACTGGAGAGGTTGGGAGGAGGGATGGTGGGTGAACAAACAGAAAGGCAGAAGTTCCCCTGGTATAATCAGTCTCAGAATGAGAGGTTTGGAGGGTCTCCAGGGTGGGCAGTGTTCCCAGGAAAGACAGTGGGGGCAGGGATCACTGGATGAGATCAACAAGTGGAAATGAAGGGAAGTGGGACTTGTGGGGCAGGCTATGAAAGGGAATATGTCCCATTACTTTTCACCTTGCTCCTAGCCTCAAGGCACACAAACACCCTCACTCAGTCCTCTGCTCAAACCAACCATGGATTATCTGGGGTTAAAAGGAGACCACAGAGGAGTCTCAGAGAGAGAGAGAGAGAGGGAGGGAGGGAGGGAGGGAGGGAGGGAGTCTGTCACAAAAAGGAGACCCTTCTCCCCTCCAAAGGCCTTTCAGAAATAAAATTAAAGGCATGTGTCTCAGTATCATCCCAAGGGGCTTGGGGGGAGGGATGGGGGGATGAGGGGGGCTTTTGTCCTGGTTACCCAGCTTCTCCCACATTGATCACCATGGAAACCAAAGCCCCCTGTTGCCTAGGTGATGGCAGCCAGGTCCAAGAACCCAGACCCAGTATACGAAGCAAGGAAGGTTATGGAGATGGGGTAGGGCAGGGGTGGTGTTAGGGACAACGCAGGAGAGAATGAGGTTTCTCCTCTGGCAGCCCAAGCTTTTGTCTGAGCTCTGGGATCATGTTTCTTCAGGAAACAATTGGAGGCCTCTGGAAAAAGTATTCTCAGAACCTGGCAACAAGCAGAAGAATCAAGGCCCTAGGAGGAGGGGAGAGGGGGGAGGTTGGTGTTAGCCAAAATGCAGACCAAGGCTAGACCCTTCCCCATTGCCCCACTTGGAGGAGCAGTTCAGATGAACGAGGGCTTGGACACAGATGCTGGCACACCAATTTGGGGCAGGCGCTGAGGACTGATGAGCAGGGGGCAGGCAGCTAGTTTACCACCTCTTTCTTCGGCTGCTCTAGTGAAGGGCCACCCCACCACCCAGTCCCAGCTACTTCAGGTCTGGAGTGGGAAAAGGGGGCAGGACAGAGGTGAGGATGGGGCTGGGGAAGGCACTGTGGGAGCCAGACAAGAGGTGGGGAGAGGAGAGGACAGGACACAAACATGTACCTAAAAAGGGTGTTGACTGTTTCTCATCCACACTAAGCACATGGCTGCAGTGCAGCAGAGGTGTGTGGGTTGGTTTGAGAGTGGACTTCCAGCTGGAGAGGAGGAAGAGGATAAGAAGCCGAAAGTATTCCTCTGATAGAGCCAGTCTCTGACAGGATCACTTTTTAATTTATTTTTATACATGTATATATATTTAGAGAGAGGGAAAGGGAAGGAGAAAGAGGGAGAGAAACATCATGTGTGGTTGCGTCTCACACACCCCCTACTGGGGACCTGGCCCACAACCCAGGCAGGTG